CACTTCTGGGGTCACTGTGCCCCAGGACTGGCCTGTGTGGGAGGCGGCACTGACTGAACTAATCACCCAGCGAGCATGTGTCAGTCAAGGCTGCCTTGTCTGTGCTGGAGCTGCCCTGCCATAGGGATGGAAACTAACACTGGATTCTCGCTGCGTTTGTGTCTCCCAGAAATACCCAGTGAAATACGGCGCTGGCGTCTGCAAGACTGACAATGGCCCCGCCGTGCCCATCATCTATGATGTTGGCGATGCCCAGCAAACCACCAACTATTACGCTCCAAACAGCCGAAGTAAGTCTGCAGTGAGCGTGTGGGTTCTGCCTCTCCACCTGCACTAAATTCTCATAGAGTATTTCCCGTAGCTCCCCAGTGTCTCTGCCCCGAACATGCTATAAAAACTCCAGGAGGTTAGAAAACATTTACCAGAACTCCGCTCCAGACAGCTCCCTCTGAATTTAAGCCCTGGGCCTGTCGTTTCAGTCTGAACAACCTTCGTTTTAGAGCAGTGCTACTCAAACCTCAGTGGTCCAGGAGGCAAATTAGCGATCAGCATTACCCAAAAGAGCCACAGGAGTGTGAATTCATTGTTTCATTTACTATTGTACTAGTCATATTTAAACAGCATGATGGGAAATATTTAGTTTATAGATATATTTATTATTCTCACAGCAAATAAGTTAATAACTTAGTGCCAGTTGATAACTTAGTTGGTTATTAACATAGTAAAAACATCACTCATTTAGAGAAAGGGAAAACAATGAAACGAGAGCAAATGGAAAATTCCCAGGAGAGAGCACGGTGTGTTCCCCACTTTAACATTCTACATGGCAACTGCACACAAACCAGCTCTTAGGAATTTAAAGATGCCATGACAGTGACAGATCTGTGAACAGCCCAGCTGAGCCTCACAGTTCCTGATCATTTGTGGGACTAGAGTTCCTGATCCTTAGTCCCTGGTCATTCCCAGTTCAACGGGACCAGCTGGGATCAGAGCTCTGTCCCTTCTCTCCACCTGTCCATGGCAAACAATGGTCCTGACGTGCTCTTTTCTGTCACCAGCTGAATTCACTGCTGGCTACATCCAGTTCCGCGTGTTTAATGCTGAGAAGGCGGCCATGGCTCTGTGTTCTGGGGTGAAAGCGACCGGCTGTAACACTGAGACTGTGAGTATCGGGTCAGCGTGGGGCTTAGCTGTGGAGCAAAGGCCAGCTCATCAGCCTTGGGGTTGCCTAGTGTCATTGTCAGAGCTGCTCGGCTGCACAAGGACCCTTTTAGCTCGGCACTGGTTCAGTTTGTATCCCCTGTGCCAGCAGGGACAGCTGTGCCCACAGAGGCAATCATCCCCCAGGACAGGCCAAGGGGGATGGATGTTACATCTCTTCTTTGGGGGACCATGTTGGGGGGGGAACAGCTCACAGGGGCTGTTGGCTGCTGTGGGCACTTTGCACCACTGGGAAGTCTTTCAAGGTGTAATTTCTGCCAGCAGGGGGCCTGCAGCCCAAGCTTTGGCCACGGGTAAGTTGGGAGTGAATCAGACCCACTCACGGTCTGCTCCTGACCCAGAGAGGTCCATGGGGCGCTGCGCGATCGCATTTGTAATAATAATCCCTAGCTCTGGTATGGCTTTTTTTGTCAAATCTTAAATGCTGCACAGAGGAGTCAATATCATCATCCCCATTTTATAGAAGGGGAAACTGAGGCATGGAACGGCACAGCCAGGAATAAAAGCCAGATCGCCAGAGTCCCAGTCTAGTGCTGTATCCACTAGGCCACACTGCCTCCCCAGGTCAAGACTCGATTTCTGTTCTAGGGTGTGAAATACAGGTGGCTGATACTGCACCAACACAGCCCCTTCCCCAGCAGCCCCTTCTCTGGTGCCTTCACAGATCCACAGATGCAAAGGCCAGAAGGGCCAGTATGATGGATCTTGTAGTCAGACTTCCTGCATGGCACATGCCAGAGAACCTCCCACAGGGATTCCTGCATCAAGCGTTCTGGCCCCTGCCAACCTTCCCAGTGCAGGTTTTTCCCAAACTCTATGGTAAGGTTGAACTGTGAGCTCCTTGGGGCAGGGGCTGTATTTCTATTCTGTGTGGTACCCAGCACCAGAGGGCCTGCCCAGGACTGGGGCTCTGAAGTGGTACTGCAATGCAAACAATAAATAACAACACCACCACTCAATGGCCTAAACCAGCCCTGCCCCTTGTGCAGATGTTCACACCAGTGCGAAGGGAGTGGCAAACGCTGGCATCTGCAGGCCCTTTGCACCAGGGTAAATGACTGCACAAGAGCCAGGGCAATGGAGACTCTGGTCCCAAGAGTTAGGAAGGGATTTAAACCCTCATGCTTCAGGGCATTAGCTGACCTCTGACTGTAGGAGGTCAGGAGGTAACTTACTTTGTGGGCAGATTATTCGCCAATGGGCCATTGCACGGTTTCTTGTGACTTCCTCTGAAGCATCTGGCACTGGCCTGGAGACAGGAAAGCGGCTAGATGGGCCCCTGCTCTGCTCCCATCTGGCAATTCCTCTGTTCTCTCCCCAGTACTGCATAGGTGGAGGAGGGTTCTTTCCAGAAGCGAACCCAATTCAGTGTGGTGATTTCCCTGCCTTTGCCTGGGATGGCTATGGAACCCATCGGAGCTGGAGCGTATCCAAGGAGATGCTTGAATCCGCAGTGCTGCTGTTCTACCGCTGAGTCCAGAAAGGCTGGCGTGACCCAGTGAACAACGCTGCTTCACTCCAGCCACAGCTGCTCCCTGGGAGGAGCATTATGGCCTCAGCTGTGGTCATCTGTGATTCAAATAAAGAAAGTGAAGTGAGCCGGGGTCTTGGTGTGATTTACTCCCCTTGTGACCCAGAGAGGGCTGAGAGGTTCTCAGCACCAGTCAGGATCAGGCACTGCTTTCATTACGAACACCTGGCCCTTAGCTAGCGCTCTGGGTCCCTAGATCTCAAAGCACTTTCCCAAGGAGGGCAGCGCACTTTTTCCCATGTTACAGATGCAGGGAATAAGGCCCAGGAGGTGATGACGTTGTCATGGCTCCCGAGTTAGCTGCATCTCTGACCCCCTCATGTCTCCTTGAGGGACTCCCATCTCAATGTCAGGCCTTCAGATGTCACTCTTCTCAGGGCTGGATTTTGCAATCCCCTCCCTCCAGAGTGGGGCCAGGGCTGCAATTCACAACGATCAGCTCAGCAGAGGTGAGGTCAGTTCAGCATCTGCGCCCCTGTTCTCTGCCGGGTCGTGGCTGGGTTAGGCAGTGACCAGCCAGCTCTCAGAAAGCGAAGTCCCGTTTATTCACAACAAAAGCATTTCCGAGCAAACGTCTCTGAACCCAATAATCAGTGTTTCCGAGGTCTAGCTCAGCGGGTGCTCACCACTGCCCCCAGGGTGACCCTGGCAGGTTTTTAAGTACTTCAGATCCTGCCACAGGTCCTGTCTGGTCACCAGTTCAGGTCAGTTCTTGGACCCTCCTTTGATCAGGCTGATCTTTTATACAGTATCGTTACGTTTTTGTTTTCTTAGGCCTCTTGAACCAGGTCAGACCAGTCAAGGATATTCCCCATTGGGCCAAACTTCACAAGCCTTGTTACCGACATTGTTTCTGTGTGGGAGATTTGTGTTAATTACCCAACTGTTGTCTTTCTTTCCTTGGGAAAAAATTTTTATTTCATCCATGGAGCCAGGAATACAATCACTACCCAGCCCCTAAAGATACAGATCCCACTGATAAAGTTGATACAAAAGGCTTTGAATAGTCCCTGTCTTCGTAGCTCTGCATCTGTCACAGATGTAACTTTCCCAAGGTCATCCAGCAATCCACCGACAGAGCCAGGAATGGACTGTAGGTCTCCTAAGCCCCAGTCCAATGCTCCATCCACTAGGCTATGCTCCCTCCCCTTGCTACAGGTGGGGCTGGTTGCACACCCAATTATTATTGCCTCACACTGCCCACAACAAGACCCTGTTCTCAGCTCCATCTAACTTTGCCAGACTTCAACCCTTTGGGATGGAGTTTTCCATGTTGGCTGCCTGCCTCATGGCAGATTTTTTTTTTATCATTACTATTTTCAGCCAAATGGTTCAGCAGTTTGTGAGACCAAGAACATTGTTTTCCCCACGTGATGCCATCTTAACAACATTTTATCTGAACTGCTCTAGCCCGCCATGGTGTGGAGCTGGGAGCTGGGATGGTCTTTGGGTCAGGGATGTGCCTTTTGCCAGTCTGGTGAAAATCAGCCCAAAGTTGGCCAGAGTATAAGCCTTTGGGAAAACTGCACTTCACATGTGCTCAATAGAAGCTTCTTTGATTGTGGAAGCTAAATTCCCTGAAGATTCCCCTGTGGCAATCAGGGTCCAGACACTCCAAGAAGAGAAAAGAAGGTTTAAACTCCCCAAATAAGCAGTTAAATTCCTCTAAATACACTGTTACTAGACTATAAAAACATACCAAGTAAGATGTGACCCGGGGTGCCGAGGGTAGCCCTCACTGAAAATGCCAATGTCAGGGCAGGCTGCAAGAAGGAGGGCAGATTCTTCCAAAACTGGTGGCTAACACTGTAGTTATATTCACCAACCATCAGAAACTGTGCTCCTGATCCCTCCCCCTCCTCCCCCCTGGTTATCAAGAAGCTGAAAAAGAAATTGCATTCCAGTTCTCTGGCTTCCTATCAGCACAGAGGTCCAGCACAGTGAGAAGTTATTTAAAACCTCTGCTCACTCTACAAAATGTTCTTCTGACCCACAGGGCCAGCCACATTACCAGGTCAATGTTAGTCTGGATCTTACCCAAAATACCACACTGCCAGCCAATCCTTTAGTACCTAGAACTAAAGGTTTATTATAAAGAAAAAAGAAAGAACAGGAAGAGAGTTGTTCAATAGTAAATCAGTCGCATACATACAGAGACTTCAGAGTTCATATATCAGGTTCTTAGCAGTATTGGTGAGTTTGCTGGCTTGAAAGTCGCTCTGGAATCATCCAAAACTTGGATGGGTCATTCAGTCCTTTGTTCGGAGCTTCATTTTGCAGAGAAGTGAGTCCAGAGGTGAGAAGCAGGATTGAAGACAAAATGGAGATGATGCAGCTGCCTTTTTATATCTGTTGTCACGTGGCTTGTACTTCCTTTGTCCCAAACACCAACTCATAGCGCATGGCATGGAAAAACCTTGGAGTCCCCTGTCCATAGGCATGCCCCTACAAGTCTTGCTGACTCTAAGGTGTAGCCCTGCTTCTTTCAATGGGTTCTTTGTACAGTTGATGACCCTTGATGGGTCATCGAGCAGGCTAGGCAGTGATGATGACAATCTGTCTGGGGGTGTCACCCAGAAACACAGCACAAGTTTTGAAATACAGATATACCCTGTATATCTACAACTCACAATGCAAAGGTGATACAAACATATAAACAAGACTATCATACTTGGAAAATCGCACATTTCCACTGACATCTTACACGGCATATCTGGCATGATTCATTGCAATTTT